GCCAGGCAAACTTGTCTGGATTATAACAGATGGAGACATCAGAGGGTGTCCAGTTTGCAGCCCAGGGCTAGAGGAAGTGGGCTCTGTGGGCCATTTTGTTTTCCAAATATAGTCCTGGTCTATAATATGGGCCAAGGCCTGTGATGATGGCACGTGTCTATATCCCTGGAAATGTGTAACATGTCCCCTGTGCAAAGTCATGGAGATGAGGCCAAAAGATCTTGAAGTTCTTAAGATATCTGAAGCTGCCCATGCTCCTTCATCCTTTTGAGGTAAAGGGTAGCTTTTGCTATTCCTGAAATTGTGGGCAGTAGAGAGGTGATGTGGCTGGTATTTAGAAAATCCTGGGCTTTCTCCCTCCTGTCCAGCTGGACCCATGCTCCCAGGTGGGATGGTTCCTAGCAGTCACATGGCTGGAGGGGCTGGGCCCACACTTGTCTAAGAGTGTGGGAACCTTCACAAGCAAACCTACCGACTCAGGGGCTCCTGGAGGTCCTTTTAGTTCATACAGCTAGCTTGCTTAACAAGATCTTTACCAGAATTTTCTTGAATACTGGCTTCTTCGGATATCTGTCCCACCTTCTCTCTCCTCAGCTCCCCCTACCCCAGGAGCCCATCCCTCTGAGATCCGCCACCACTTCTAGCCTTTAGAGGTGGGGTGGGAGGGGTCGTGCCCCACAGAAAAGGACTGCCTTGGCACCCAGTCCCCTGCTGTCTTTCACAGTTTGGGGTCTATCAGGAAACCAGCCCTACAATCAATCAAAACAGGTTCTAGTGTGGGAGGGTATTGTCCAGGTTGGAAGAGACTTTCAGGGTTAGGTCCAGACCATGATTCGATGCTTGCATCTCTCTCTACCATCCAGGCTAAGCACTGGTCTTCTGGGACCAGGATCACATGACCTTTTGCCATCATGGGACAGTAGAGATGGTAGGAAAAGATGCAGTTGTGATGGGCCCCAGCCTTGGGTGCCCTGGGTTGCTTTGGGGTTCCCAGGCTGAGGGCCCCAGGAGATAGTGAGTAAATTCTTTTATTGCTTTTTTCTGTTCATTTCAGGATTTCTTTTGAAGTGTGCAAATACATAAAGTAAAAAAAAAAAAAAAGCCAGAATTTGCTCTCAGGCTTAGTAAGAACCAGCATGTGCTACACACAGCTGCCTATCTATTGCCCTTTTCTCTCTCCTTGAAGACTCAGGAATCCTGCCCCAAGGATATTCTAGTACTTCTCACCCACTCCAAGATTTATAAACAAGGCCCAGAGGTGAAGCCAGGATTGGGCAGTGGTGGCAGTGGCCTATGAGTGATGGACACTACCCTGCCTCACCCAGGCCTGGAATGTTCTGAACTATTTAAATGACTGGGCTGAAGAGGCCTTCATCAGCTAGAGGGGATATGAATGAACATCATTTACTGAATGAGCCTCTTGTGCTGAGGGGGCTGGTGGCTCTTGGCAGTGAGGCCTCAGCTGCTCCCTGCCTCCAGGTGGTGGATGCTATGGAGTAAAGGCTTCTGGTGGAGCAAACCAAACCAAACACCAAACTCATTGCCATAGAGTCGGATCTGACTCATAACCACACCTCCTTGGGTTTCCGAGGCAGTATCACTATGGAAGTAGATTGCCCAAACTTCCTTCCGGGGAGTGGCTGGTGGGTTTGAACCACCAGCCTTCCGGTTAGCAGTCAAATGCCTTAGGCACTATGCTACCAGAGCTCCCCCTAGTGGAGCAGCAAGAGAGCTGGCCTTGCTGGAAAAGTTGGTACAGCCTCCAGGGCTACCACTTTCCGTATCCCAGCTTCTCACTGAAAATTCCAAACACAGACCCACCATTTTCCATGGTGTGTAAAGTCAGTAGTTACCCCACACATTGTCTTTCCCCAAACCCTGAGGGTTCCCAGAGCATTGCAGAGCCCTAGGGGGATATGTATCAAGGCAACACATGCTTGAGTTGTGTCCTGTCTCAGACACTTGGGCAAAGGGCCCTAATGTCGCATCTTCAAACCTATAAGAGAGAAACAAACAAACAAAAAGCCCTTATACAATACCCTGGAGCCACCAACACCAGGAACTCTTGATTTATAAGCACCCCCACCCCATCATTCTGAAGCATCTTCAGATGTCTTTGTGGGTGGGGAGTGCATGAGTTGTTTCTATTATTTTTGTCTTTCTTTGATTTTGGTACAGCTTTGAGTCCCTGCCAATAATAAGGTATCTTCTTGTTTGTTCTTTTCACAAAATAAATAAATTAAATCAACTTGCAGCGTACAAAATGTCAATGTCCTGAGAAGGTCAAAGGTCCATTATCGGTTTAGTCCTCAGCTTGCTGAGGGGGGATTGAGGCTGTGGCCTCAGAGACACAGGAAGGAAGGGACAAGCCTGTTGTCCAAACTCAGTGGTCCCCAAGGAAGAGCCCATTTAGAGGTGGCTGCCCCCCACCCCTACCCCGCTTGAAGAACAGAGGAGGGGGCAATGTGGGGGCCGGGCCTGCCAGCACTTCTGGGCCTGCCAGAAATGTCAGGCCCCACTCTACTCAGGGTCGAGTTTTCACCGCTACAGTTCTTCTGACGTTAAAGCCAGCTCCCTGCCCAACTTCTTGGATTGTAAAATCCAGAGCAGAGACATCCTTGAATGGCTGGAGTTCGTGGTGATGGAGACCCAGCAGCTCAAATATGCCGATTACGACAAATCCCACAAGATGGCTACCATCCTCACCTCTTCAAACTGGAACTTCCTGCCAGGACTCCACTCGTCCCTTCCCTGTGGCAACAGCAGCTGGCTCTGTCCCTCCCTGGTGTCCATATTACTCAAACCAAAACCATTTAAGAATGGTTCATATCATGTAGAAGTTGTCCAGGAAATAAGAAACAGAGTATCTGAATGGATTTCCTCAGCCTGCAGGCCTTGCTGAACTGTCATAGTTTCCCACAGGTTCTGGGCCTGGTATCGACTTTTGTTCTGGGTCTGGGCGTGGGAGCTGGAGAAAGGCTTCAACTTTGGGGAGAGGCACTGCTTGGTCACACAGTCTCTGGGCCCGAAGGAAATGGGCTGGATTCTTGGAGGGATTTTTTGAGGCCTTTTCAAGGCTAGCCTCTTCTCAGGGAGGTGGTGAGGATTGTTAGTTTATGCTGCTTCTGGACATTTAGCAAGAATGCTGGTGGTTTCTGAGGTTCGTTCCACACGGGGTTCCAAGAGAAAGGCCTTGGGGGTACGATGGACTGCCATGTGGCCTCTCAGCTCAGCTCCTTCTGAGGGAGTCTCCATGTCCTCTCCTCTCCCAAGTGCTTCCTGCTGGTTCTTCCAGTCTCCCCCAGCCACAGACCACCTCCAAGGGGCAATCCTTTGAGACGGAACTCAACACGCAGGCACCAAACAAGAAAGACACCAAACCATAAATAACTTAAAAATAAAACAAAACCCAGCCCAGCTCCCGTTGAGCAATATTCTTCCCAGAGCCCTAAAGGAGGAATTCTAGACACTGGCTGTAACCGTGGCAACAAGCTGGCTGACCTCTGTCCACAGGGAAGCAGGCTGGCTTCTCAGGGGAGGCAGTATCCTGATGTGATTTCTCTCCCAAGAGCCCACTGTACTTTCTTCCTGGCCCTGCCCCAGACGAGGCTGGCTGGAAATGGCAGGGCCATGGGCTGCCTTTCACCTCCAGGGACCCCAGCTGCTTCAGCTGGTCAGGCTCAAGAAAGCCTTCAAATGCGGTCATGCTCTCAGAGTGGGCCAAGCTAGGACGGGGCCTTTAGGCTTAGTCACATGAGGGTTGGCCATGCCATTTCAAAACATCCTGTCTGCCAGCAACAAGGATGTGGATAGGCCAGAGAAGGTAGCCAGGGGAACCCAAGGTGGGCAGGGACGGCGCACTCGGCAGTTGAAACCCACCATTCGTTCCGTCCAAACCGGGCAACTGGGTTGAACTGGGTCATTGCAGTCACCGTGTCTCCTTCTCCTGCCCCTCTCAATAATTCTAAAAATGTAATTAAAGGCTTCTTCAGGTGTATGGTACAGATAAACCCTGTGGGCATAAAGCAATGGGAAGCTTGCCTGTGTATCTGTGTGTGTAGACTTGGGTTTTCATATGTTCTTATGTCTGTGAGTGTGATGTGCATGTATGTACTTGTTTCTATGAACATGTGTGTGTGTTTTAGCTCTATACAGGGCTAATCTTTATCAGAATACAAGCACAACTATAAAAGAAAAACCAAACAGTTGCCGCTGAGTCAACTCCAACTCATGGCAAAACCATGGGTGGACGACAGAGTAGAAATGTGCCCCACAGGGTTTTTAGGGCTGATTTTGCAGTAGATTGCCAGGACTTTTTCTGAGGCACTTCTGGATGGACTCAAACCTCCAACCTTTTGGTTAGCAGCCGAGAATGTTAACCATTTGCACTACCAGGGATTCTAACACAGTTACACCAGTTATTAAAATGTCCACATTCTTTCTGCACTGGTTGGTAAACAGCCAATGTCACCTGATGATCCCCAAATACCTCCTCTTCCTTGACACCCTGGGCTGTCCTGGCTCCTCTCTCAAAGACCCATCCAGACTCCAGACTTTTCTATGATCCAGAAACTAAATGGTTAACATAGGCACTGCAGGAGGTCCAACAGTGCCTGGCCAGGACCCACCTTCCTTCTGGTTGCTCTGTTTGGAGCTTACCCTAAAGGCATACAAGCATTATTTGTATCCAATGTATGTTTCTGTGTGCATGTGTGTGTGATAGGCTTGTCATAAGTCCAGGCCTGCCTAGGCTTGCCCTGGAGTCTATAGCCCCTGAAGTCTGGGTTTGATGGCTCCCTAGGGTGCAGGCACTGTCCTATTATCAGGGAGAAACCCCAGGGCCCCGGCTGCAGTGGGAAAGCTAGCTGGCATGGGCCCTACTCCTACAGCAGAGGGACTTGCCCTGCTCACTGTATGCTTGCCCTGCTCACCACCTGCCCTCTGTGTGCCGCAGTCTCACTGCTGGCCTAGGAGCGAGGAAGGTAAGGCGGCACTTCCATGAGGAGGGATATGGGTGGTCCCAGGCTCCCTATGTGACCCAGAAGGTGCCACGTTCCTCCAGCAGGCTGATGGAGCGGTTTGTGAGGGAGGTGGCATCCTGCACCAGTTTGTAGCCAAAGAGGCGCATGGCAGGGCCGCAGGCGGCCTGCACCACCTGCGCCAGCTTGAAGGGCATGCTGAAACGCCACTTCTCAAACTGCTCTGAAGAGTTCTTCTGTGTGGAATAGATGCCGTTGCTGTCCCGGGCTGCCTGGGTGTTCTTCTGGATCCAGTCTTCCACCTGAGGGGTCAGGGGTATGCCTGCAAAGCGGTACATCTCACGTGCCTTCTGCAGGGGCCAGCGTGCCACGTCCTCATAGCGCACCAACATGTAGCGACCCTGTAGCCAGGTGGGCTGCCGCAGGCCCAGCTCGGCCGACAGGCGGATGCTCTCGCAGTTACCCCTGAGCCGTTGCACTTCCTCCTCTCTTAGCCGGTCCTGGCCCTCAGCGAGCCACTTCTTCCAGGTCTCGTACTTGCCAGCAAAGGCCACCATGCGGGAGGCCAGCACAGCCCGGGGGTCTCGTACCAGCTGGATGATGCGGAGGTCCAGCCGGGGGTCCTCAGCCAGCGGCTGCAGGAACTCCAGCTGCCGGATACGGACTGCCTTGAGGGCCATGTGCTCCTTGCGGCGGCAGGCCTCCGCGGCCAGCGTCACATTGAGGGGGCCGCAGCGGCGCTCCTTGCAGTGGTACTTCTCGAAGACCTTCTTGACGAAGGGCGTGCACACAGGGTCCTCGCAGAGCGAGCGGCTGGAGCCCCGGCGGAACATGAATGGCGTCAGGTGGTGCTCAGGCAGGGGGTTGATGAAGTGTTCCAGGACATACAGATCGCACAGGAAGAGTTGCTTAAGCACGTCACGGTAGACCAGGGCCGAGCCAGCGGCATTGGCGCCTCCGGGTTCGAAGGTCACCGTGCGCTCAACGTGCCATAGTGGCTCAAAGAGGTAGAAGATGTTGCCCTGCTGGTTGAAGAACTCGCCCACGAAGGAGGAGCCCGTGCGTGTGGTGGCCATGAGCAGCACGTGGCGCCGGGGCCAGGCCACACGGGGTTGAGGTGGCTTCTCCTCTTCCTCCCCTTCAGCCTTGGTTATGGGCTCCATGCCTAGCTGTAGGCTGAGATTTCGCAGGCGACTCTGCAGCTGGGAGAAGGCAGAATCAAGCTCGCTCAGAGACAAAAGGGATGCGTTCTCAGCCAAGACCAGGGCTGGATCCGTGCTGTTGGCAACTGTCAGAACCTGGGGAATCTGCTTCAGCTTGTCTGACACCCTGTGAGGAAGAAGACAGGAGTCAGTGACTGATCAGGTCTTGATGTCATGGATGAGGGTAAGTCCACAGAAAGGTAGGTCCTAGTACAGACAGCCTGGTGGGCAGGGCTGCCATGTACAGCTACCCAGGTTGTATACTAGTCAACTCCAAGGGAGTTCTATTCACTTAGACTACACAGGCAGCTCCTCTTAACAGCTTCCCTATCTTAACTGGCTTTTCCCAGAAGCAGACTTGGTGACAAGGATTTGAGAGCATGTACAGGCATACCTCATGTAACTGTGCTTTGTTTTATTGCTCTTTGCAGATACTACAGTTTTTTTTTGTTTTTTTTTAACAAATTGAAGGCTTGTGGCAACCCTGCATTGAGCAAGTCTGTTGGTGCCATTTTCCCAACAGCATGTGTTCATTTCATGTCTCTGGGTCATATTTTGGTAATTCTCACAATATTGCAAACTTTTTTGTAATGTTACTGCACACTTAACAGACTACAGTATAGCGTAAATACAGCATTTATATACACTGGGAAACTGAAAAATTCACGTGACCCTCTTTGTTGCAATACTCACTTTATTGCAATGGTCTGCAATGGAACCTGCAATATCTCTGAGGTATGCCTGCAGTTTATTTAGGACAAGACCACAGGAAGGATTCGTACAGGAGCAGGAAAGGCAGGGAAGGAAAAGAAGCTAAAGAAAGGTTACCCCTCTGGACAACCAAGGCTCAATCTAACTGGGGACTTCTGGGAGAGTGTTGAGCACATCTCAGGACTGTTTCCAAGGGGTGGGATAGTCCAGTCCCATCTGGCCCGCAGAGGGCTGCTCCTGGAGGCATTTACTCCCTGGCACAAGTAGCTGACAGTGCATGGGAAGAGAAAAAGCCTTCAGATGGGCAGCTGCAGGAGCCTGCAGTAGGGCCCTGATAGTATCTGCTACAGAGCCCAATCCCTAGCCTACCCATCGTCTTGGCTGTTACTTTCTCGCAGGGCTTGTGCCTGGGAGGAGAAGAGGTCTAAGAACTCTTTATCTGTTCAGCAGGCCCACTAGCAGGGTCATTGGCCACAGGGGTACACTGCCAACTCTAGGTAGCAGCATTCCCAGTAAAGCCTATGTGAATGACACTCCCTGGGGCTGAGCAGTTCACAACCTGGGCAGCTGCACACAGCAGCCTTGGCCACCAGGGTATCTCATCCTCACCTGTGACATCAAGACTGGTAAGGGGGTACTGCTAATGCGAGGCATTATTCTAGGCCAAAGCAAATTAATAATAATAACTAGTAAGTACTAGATACCAACTACATGTCAGGCAGTGGGCTAAATGTTTTTACATTTTTTCATCTCATCATTACAAAGTAAGATCCATCATTAGTCAACTTTTACAGTAGAGGACCTTAAAGTTCTGAAAGGTGAAGTCACTCACCTAGGATCTGGAAGGACAGAATTGGGATTCCAACTCAGGGTGCCTGAGTGTAGAGCCCCCCTGGGATACAGAGGGTGTGGATAATTACTGTCCAATGAATGAATGTGCAGGGCCACATGGAGCCCTATGTGGCCACAGTTGGCTCTATGCCCCTACCTCACCCCACCTTGATAGAGAAGACTTGTGCTTGCATCTCTCACCTTGATATGATTTTATTTTCCTTTTCAATGAAGACAAAAACTACCACTACGAAAGCCAGGAAAAAGGCATATTTGCTCCTCATCCTCAGGCTGTGCAGAAAGTCCCGGCAGTCCTGGGGCAAAGCGAGTCCTTTATCCATGGAGAAAGGTGGGCCACAGACAGGCTCCTCGGGCCAGTCTCGGGACTCAGCTCAGGGGCATCCCTCGGGAGCAGGCTCATTGACTTCAGGTCGGGGACACCCTTGTCCTGTGAAGAGATGGGCAGTCAGGACATCCTTTGTGTACGGGGAATGAGGAGGATGCTTCCCTATCAGACTCGCCAACAGATTCAAAAGGATTCAACCCAACTTAGCAGCCAGACCCACACCCACTCTTCCCACCCTCAATACCCCAGAGACTTGACATCAGACCATCTAAAATGCTGATGGACCTTTTGGTTCATCATTCTACCTCCATGAATTTATGCTATCAACACACTTGCTCACAGGTCAAAGGTGTGTGTATGGCAAAGAATATCCCTTGCAGCATACGTGTTTGCAATAGCCCAAAGACTGAAAATCAATAAAAATTATGACACATCCAAGCAATGGATTCTTATGTTGCCACAAAGAATAAGGTAGATCTATATACATGCTGATGTGGAATAATCTATAAAACACATTACAAAAAAAAAAAAGCCAAGTGCAGACACAGTGTGTTTATGTAGGACAGGTTTCCTTAGCCTCAGTACTAGTGATGTTTCAGACCAGACAATTCCTTTAGGAGGAGGGGAGTGTGCCCAGCACTCCAGCCAAGGAGAGCCAGCCCTCTGGCAGACCACAGCCTAGACACCTTCCACGTGTGTGTGTGTGTGTGTGTGTGTATGTGGTAGGGGGAGGAGATGCCCTGTCCTTTGCATTGTAGGATGTTTAACATGAATGATCAGACATTACTTGTGTCCTCATGGGGCTTATGCTTTGGTTGGGAGGGCCAACTGGAATGACATCGGGGTAGCAGACATTTATTGAGTGCTTGCCATGTGCCAGGTGCCATGCTAAGCACCTGATTTGCATTTTCTCTTCAAATCCTCACAAAAGCTGTAGGAGGTAGCAACTATTCTATTTTATAGACAAAGAAACTGAGGCATAGAGACGTGAAGTAACTTGACCAAGCTCCCTCAGCCTGTAGACAGTAGGGCTGGAATCTCACCCAGGCAACCACCTTCCAAAGCACATGCTCTTAACCCCTGCGCCAAAATCCACAGCCCTGTCTGCTCCAGGAGTTTCTCTGGCCTTTCAGCTCAGAGAGTACCCTGGGTGTGTACTGAATCCTTGTCAGGAGAATTCTAGTTACAGGAACATCAGAAAGCAGAATTTTCAAAGCTATATCTTTGCCATGGTTGCTGCCTGCGACTGGTCTAAGCGGCCATGAACACAGGAATTGCAAATGGGTTAGGGTGAGGGAACATGGGTGGGTTTTCTGCTTGGGTGTAAAATGTAAGTTTGGTAACTGTCATTATAATAGGGCTTGTGTGAAAAATGAAAACGGCTAGCTAAGAAAAGATCTTAATTAAATGCCTGGGCAATCTACTTTCGTAAAGATTTACAGTCTCGGAAACCCAATGGGGGTCACTCTGAGTTGGAATCAACTCAGCGACAGTGGGTTTGGTTTTTTGTTTCTTTTTGCTCCAGAGAGAAAAGATGTTCCAACAAGGAAACTCCTCTGATGGAGGGCTGCAGCAGTGGGGACCAAGGTCCCAGGAATGGTTCTGATCTCTAAGGTTAAGCATGCTGTTGGAGACAAGGGACAGAAAGAACTTTGGCAGTAAAGCTATCCTAAAACCAGGCCATCACTTCTCCGGGGGCAGATGCCGCTCATTTCTATATCGGCAACGAGGGTGGGGCCTCCCCCACCTCAGCTGCCTTCCTGGACGCCTGGTTCTCACACGTGGTGGGCATCAGACTCACTCACAGAGCTGTGAAAATGTGGAAGGCTGGGTCCCAGCCCTAGAATTTCTGACTCAGTAGGCCAGGGTGGGGCCGGGTAATTTCACATGTCTCAGAAGCTCATGCTTGGTAAAGTGGAGGGTCAGTGAAAAAGGGAAGGCCCTCAACAAGATGGATTGATACAGTGGCTGCCATGACAGGCTCAGGTATGGCAAGGATCATGAGGCTGGCACAGGGCCAGGCAGGGTTTTGTTCTGTTGTACATGGGGTCGTTATGAGACGGAGCTAACTCGATGGCACCTGACAACAGAAGCACCCAGAAGATGCTGGTGCTGCTGGTTTGGGGACCCTGCCTGGAGAACTGAGGGCCTCCTTGGGAACAGGAAATTCCATCTCAGAGAGGCCAAGAGGGGAGAAGAAGGGTGTGAGTGGGTAGAGGCAGAGGAGGCAGGGACAAGGCAGCTGCTCTGCTTAGAAACCCTCCACACTCACCATCGCCTCAGGAAACCTGCAGGTCACTGTGATGTGGCCCTGCCTGCCTTTCCTCTCATCTCTCCCCCACCCATCCAGGTCTCCCAGCCACACAAACCCCTCCTCCATCTCCTGACCTCCGAGCCAAACCCTCTTAGCTATCCCCTCCTTTCTGTACTCATCCTACCCCAGAAATTCCTTAGCCCTCAGGCTGTGACTGAAACAGCATGTCCTTTGGCCCCTGACCACCTATTCAGGCCCAGAGCTCTGAGGAGTGTCCTCAGTGGCCCCATTATAGCACATACAACCATGTGTCTCCCTTTCCCCAGACTACAAGCTCTTCAAAGTTGGGCCTAGCGCCTGGCACAAACCACATGTCCAGCAAACCACTGCTGAATGGACCTGTTGTGGCGGGAGCCTGGCACAGCGCCTGGCAGGCTGTCGACATGGGTTTGCAGAATGGCTTCAGGGGCCATGATCCCAACACACTCTGTTCAGCCCATAGTGGGTGTGAGGCTGCCTGTCTAGTCGGGAGGATGAGCCTCAGCTCTGGTTCGCAGAGCAAAGGTGGGAAATCCCGGCTTCCAGCTCTACGCGGAGTAGGCTGCCCTCTGCTCTCGGACAGATCCACCTGGGCCTAATGATGTGAGGGAAGCAGAGCTGGGCATCAGAAGTCCTGCGTTCCATTCCTTCCCGTGTCTTGGTCATGCTGTGTGACCTTGTAAAATTGACTTAACCTCTCTAGGCTCAGTTTCTCTACCTGTAGCATGGACATGGCAGTATCTGCCATATTGGGTTGTTGTGAGGAACAGTATCAGGCAGATGATAAATGCTTATTACATAGAAAGAAAGTAAAGATGGGGGTGGGGTGTACTGGCTACCCCCTCCCTTCCAGCTCTAGCATCTTTGGTACGATTTATAAGCTGGGCTGCCTTGGTGACAAAGCTCCTGAACCTTCTCCTCTCCTCCCTTCCAGCAACTGTTTCTATTTTTGTGTTGCCTTCCCAGCTCCTCCACCTCCATGACAATGCAGGGTTCATAAGAGCCTTCCCGGCATTGCCCTAAAAGGAAGAAGCAAGGGGAAAATTCTTTCCAACATGAAGCATCAGCAAGCGGTCGGCTGCTCTGCCCTGCACTGGGCAGGTGGCTCTTGTGCTCAGCTTTAGAATCCAGGTGAGCAGGCAGGTGAGGGAGATTTAGAGGGCGTGCAGGAGGTCCCCAGAGCCAGGAGGTAGGAGAGGGTCACAGGTGCCAAGAGGTCACAGGGTCATGAAGGAGGGGGGCAGGAACCTCCCAGGAGTCATGTGGCAAAGCCCCTGGCAAAAGGTGTCCTGCAGGAGGGCCTCTGCAGGAAGCAATCTGTGACATCCCTCACACAGGATGAACCTTCCTGCTACCTCCGTCCCAGCTCTCAGTGTGCGTGGGCTGGCGCTGCCTCCGCTGCTCAACTCACAGGAAGAACAGAAACACCTCTTCCTCCTCATCTTGGTGACGCCCCCTCCCATTCCCTACCACTCAATACCTTTCTTCCCTGCAATGCCCCATGACTATGTGACAGTCAAGGGAAAAGGTAGTAACCCTGCTGCAGTGCCCACAGAGGCCATTTTGCCAGGGTGTCAGGAACTGCCTGGTACAGCAGGTGGTGGGGCAGCTGCTCTCGTGCAGTTGTACCCAGGGCTTTCCACGTGGAGAATAAACAACAGAGGAGAGAAAAGGGCATGAAGCACTGAGTTCCCTCAGGGAAGCAACTCTTTGGAAAAAGAACACTGGGCAGGTGCCCTGGGGGCCCTCGGAGGCACTAGTGTCCAGCTAAGCCCTGCAGGAGCTTGCAGTCAGCTGGACACACACTCACTCACCACCTAGAACAATAACCCAGGCCTCACCACCCCAAGTATCATGGCCAGCAAAGAAACAGTGCACGCTTGGATGGAGTGGCTGTGGAGGGGCAGGGGGAGTGGGCTTCAGATCCCAGAGACCCAGGGCGGATGCCTGAGCTCTGCTACCTGCCCACTTACCCAAGGCCACACAGTCCTAACAATAAGAAGACTGGGATTGTGGGGAGCCAAATCCTAGGATTTATACTTTGGCTACAACCCCATAGTCCTCGTCCCTGATACTGACCAAGACCTCACAAAGCCCACACTGGTCTACAATCTCACCCCAACCCAGCTCTGCCTCTGACCTGCTGGATGTTCTTAGGTCCCTCCCCCACTCTGGGCCTCATCAAAGGGCACTGAACTGGTGGTCTCTGAGGCCCTCCCAGCTCCCATGAGGCCTTTTCCACCTTTTGCTCAGGTAATAAATGATCTATTTACTGTTTGGTGCCTAAGGCATTTGACTGCTAACCAGAAGGATGGTGGTTCAATCCCACCAGCCACTCTGCAGAAGGCAGACAGGGCAATCTACTTCTATAAAGATTTACCACCTCGGAAACCCAAAGGGGATCACTCTGAGTTGGAATCAACTCGATAGCTGTGCTAATCATACCAAAGGAGCCCTGGTGGCGCTGTGGTAAGGTATTGGCTGCTAACCAAAAGGTCGGCAGTTTGAACCTATCAGCTGCTCCACGGGAGAAAGATGAGGCAGTCTGCTTCCACAACGAATTACAGCTTTGGAAACCCTATGGGGATCACTATGAGTCAGAACTGACTCAGTGGCAATGGGTTTACTTTTTTTTTTGGTATAATCATAGCAGCCATTTCTGAGGCCTACTGTGTGCCAGATGCTTAACACTCATTTGCTTCCACAGGCGGGTAGAGTACTCTGGCCAATTTACTAATTAAGGAA